TTTCAAAAGCGAGGGTTAGTCATTTTTTTTATCTAAACTTGAGTTCGGGAGCTCGGATTTGGACGAGATTTTGAGGGATTTTCAGAGATATCAATTCTGTACTGATTCTTAACTTGGTTTTTGCTATATCCCATTAATCTATCATTCATTTTATCATTTAATCGAATTTGGGGTGAAAAATTAGGAAATATTAAGAAGAGTTCTTAGATCAAACTTTGGGATTTGATCGAGATTTTGGTATCGAATTTGAGTAAATTTGGTATGGCTAGACTCGTGACTGAATGGGTGTTCGTATTTTGTGAGTTTTACCCGATTCCGAGATGTGGGCTCAGGGAGGCTTTTTGGGTGATTTTCCAATTTCTTGCCTTAGCTTTGATTTCTAGTTATATTAGTTTCTTGTAGTTATATTTATGTTATGTAATTGGCTTTGGCTAGATTTGGGCCATTCGGAGTTCAGATAGTTGTGGAAAGAGCATTATAACGGATTGATTGGAGCTTGGTTCTAGGTAAATGGCTTGCCTAACCTTGTGTAGGGGAACTCCCCTTAGGATTTGGTATTGTTTTGATATGTGAGCGTCGTGTATGTGAGGTGACGAGTACGTATATGGGTTATTTGTTATAAAATCTCATTTTTCACTAAGTCATAACCTGTTTCTCCTTATTTGAACTACACTAGCATAGGCAACTATCCTGTTTAGTTAGAATAGCATGCCTACGTGTTTTAACTGCCTATTTGAACTCTATGCAGCACGTTTAGTGAAATTACTTGCTTTTTTTTACTTGAACTTAGTCTAAACTGTAGGTTTTCTTGCTGTAACTGTTATTTCTATTGGTTGACCTACATCTAGAAGATCCCCTATACTGCATATTTACTTTGGGACTACGGAACAGTATTCTGGGAGATTCCTCTGTTCTGTATATTTACTTTGGGATTACAGAATGGTATTTTGGAAGATCCCCCTACACATTTAAGTTTGGGACTACGAGACGGTATCTCGGGAGATCCCCTGTTGTTATCTATATATTCTGAGTTGTGTCTTTCTTTGGTCATATTCCTGTTAGATTTTCATATTTATTTTGACTGTGTTATCTCGTTCTATATTATTTTATTATATTTATACCAGTAGGGCCCTGATCTGATCTCGTCACTACTCGACTGAGGTTAGGCTTGGCACTTATTGGGCACCGTTGTGGTGTACTCACGCCCTTTCCTGCACATGTTTTTCGTGTGCAGATCCAGGTTCATCTTACCATCCTCATCACTAGTTGCAGTTGCTGCTTCTTATTGGAGACTTCAAGGTACATCTGCCTGCGCCCGTAGATTCTCGGAGTCCCCCTGTATTCCCCTATGTTCATTTTTCCTTATTTCTGTAGAAATGATATATAGAACAGTTAAGACTTCTTAGTAGCTTGTGACTTGCGGTGTTACAGATTTTGGGAATTGTTTCGTACTTTTCAGAGGTGGTAATTGTATATGCCGAGTGGTATTCAGTTAATTATTAGATATTTTTTACTATTAGTAGTTAAGGTTAATGATTTTGGTTTCATTTCCGCAAAGTGTTAGGCTTACCCAGTCGTAGAGACTAGGTGCCATCACAATAGTTCACAGAAGGAGAAATTGGGTCATGACAGGGAGAGAGACGGGGATAAGAAGCTGTACATGCTGGCCAAAGTGAGAGAAATGAAGGATCATGATCTGGATCAAGTGAAGTGTATAAAAAATGAGGAGGGTAGAGTGCTAATAGATGAGGCACAGATTAGTCGGAGGTAGCAGTCATACTTCAATAAACTCTTGAATATGGGGGAGGTGGGATATGGAAATTGTGCTGGGTGATCTGGAGCACTCCGGGAGTCATCGGGACTTTGGATACTGTAGGCACATAAGTGTGGGAGAGGTTGAGGGGACGATGCGTAGAATGGGCAGGGATAGAGCAATTGGACCAGACGAGATCCCAGTAGAATTCTAGGAAAGTGAGGGTAAGGTAGGCTTGGAATGGCTCTCTAGGTTGTTCAACGTCATTTTTAGGACAAAAAGGATGCCTGATAAATGAAGGTGGAGTACGATGATATCGTTTTACAAGAACAAGGGTGATATCCATAACTGCAATAACAATAGGGGTATCAAGCTGTTAAATCATACGATGAATGTTTGGGAGAGGGTAGTGGAAGGGTGGGTGAGGAGGAGTGTGTCTATTTTAAGAACCAGTTTGGTTTCATGCCGGGTCGTTCGACTACGGAAACCATTCATCTGGTGAGGAAATTGATGGAGTAGTATAGGACAATAAAGAAGGACTTGCATATGGTGTTCATTGACCTAGAGAAAGCATACGATAAAGGCCCTAGATAGGTTCTATGGAGGTGTTTAGAGGCTTAAGGTGTGCCTGTAGCCTACAGTAGAATGATTAAGGACATGTATGATGAATCTAAGACATGGGTGAGTACAACGGGAGGAGACTCAAAATATTTCCCGATTGTGATGGTGTTGCATCAGGGATCAGCCCTTAGCCCATTTTTATTTTCCTTGGCGATGGACGCATTGATGCAACACATTCAAGGGGAGGTACCGTGATGTACGTTATTTGCGGACGATATATTATGATTGACAAGACACAAGAATGTGTTGATGATAGACTGGAGGTGGAGACAGAGTCTTAAGTCTAAAGGTTTCAAGCCGAGTATGACCAAGACGGAGTATTTTAAATGCAAGTTCAGCGAACTTACCTAGGAAGCGGTCATGAATGTGAGGCTTGATACAAAAGTCATCCCTAGAAGAGACAATTTTAAGTACCTTGGATCTATAATACAAGGTAACAGGAAGATTTATGAGGATGTCATGCATTGTATCAGAGCAAGTTGGATGAAGTGGAGGCTTACTTCCGGTGTCTTGTGTGATAAGAATGTGCTGTTGAAACTTAAAGGTATGTTCTATAAGGTAGTAGTTAGACCGACTATGTTGTTTGGAGCAAAGTGTTGGCATGTCAAGAACTCTCATGTCCAAAAGATAAAAGTAGCTGAAATGAAGATGTTAAGATGAATGTGTGAGCATACCAGGTTAGATAGGATTAGGAATGAAGTTATTTGGGATAAGGTTGGAGTGGCCCCTATGGAGGATAAAATGCGGGAGGCGAGGTTGAGATGGTTTGAGCATGTTAAGAAGAGAAGTATAGAATCCCCAGTTAGGAAGTGTGAGAGGTTAGCCCTGGTGAGTATCATGAGGGATAAAGGTAGGCCTAAAAAGTCTTGGGGAGAGCTTATTAGGCGGTACATGGCACAGCTAGAGCTGACTGAGGACATGGACCTAGATAGGAGGGTGTGGAGGTCGAAAATTAGAGTAGAAGGCTAGTAGGTAGTCGAGCGTTTTTCTTTGTCTTACTTAGTTCGCTAGAATTAGTGTTAGTATGATATTCTTTTATTTATAGATTGCTATTACTACCTAGAGTTTAACTACTTTTTTGGCTTCCCTCTTTTTTATCTTGTTATTGTTCCTACTTGTTGCCATTACTCTTTTTTTCATCATTCTATCAGAAACAACCTCTGCCCTTTTAATGTAGAGGTAATGTTACGTACATCTTGCCTCCCATCTAACTTGTGGGAAATGACTTGGTTTGTTGTTGTAGTACTATGATATTATACTATTAAGAGTAAATTATTTATTTTATTCGAATATCAAATACAAAAAAGAATTTACAAAATAGATTCTTCATTGAAAAACTCTAACGAAAATCCAGTGTTTATACTTTAATAGGTGGTTATTGCCCGTGCCAGCACGAGCCCAATATTACTTGGTTTTGTGTGAAAGGGCTGATAATAAAAATTGATGCATGTAAGTTAGTATCTAATTAGATAAGCAACACTACAGGCATACTAGTTGCTGGATATTATTTATATACATTTTGGATCAAAATATACATTCTTTATCTCTATGGTAGCATCATATTAGCAGATGCTTAAAGTCCAAAATGTACATTTTTTCAGATTCTTGCAGGCATCTGAAAATACTTTTCGGCTGAAGCTCAGTGCCTTCTTATTAATTATTTTTTTAACCAAACATCACCTGAAACAAAGAAGCAAGACAATAGACATCTGTCAAAGTGAAGGTGTCGAGCGGTCAAGGTGGAAGAAAAGAGGACACATTCAAATGGTAGCAGCCTTCATGAATCTCAACAGATTCAATTTGGAAAAACCAAAAAGGCAAAGTAATTTAAGAGAGTTAAGCATAACGGAGCATGCGAAATATACTATCAGAACCTTTTTTGAGTATTTAACCCAATTAATTCTATAAGATCAATAGTTTCACCAAATCTAACAATGTTTGGACAACAAAAGATATAGCTCATCTATGTGCAGGCAAATTCAAACAGACACAAGTACCAGAGACAGGGTAAAAGGAACATGCTATTCATATTTGTTCAGCCTTACCTATCTATCAAAATTACAATTCTAGCCTTTAAATACTGATTTTGTAAACCATTAATTGTTTTTATCAAGCCAAAAGCTCTCAATCTCAAAATGGCTTGAACAAGGTAAGAGTAAAAGAGCTTTCTTGAAGGAAATAACAAAAAGCAAAAAGCTTAAGCTTTTGTACTACCTTTACCTCCTTGTTAGAGCTAACAAATACTCACAATCTTGAAGCAGAAAGGATGAAATTTGACCAACAATCATATAGTAAACCATGATAGTACCTTTTACCAAGAGGAGAAGAGTAACAAATATTAACTATGTTGCTCTTAACCTTACAAGAGAAAATATTATCATAAGAATTACAAAAAGACACAGAGAAAGGGTGAATAAGGCTAACAATAAAGTGAAGGAGGTGGAGGAATAAAATGCTTTCAGATTTAAGTGTTTAGAGATCGACTGATATTTGTGCCTTTATTAGGTTAGTATTTTTCACATTTCTAAACTGCTGCTTTAAGTTAGCGTTTTTGTGGATGAAAAAGAACCTTTTGTCAAGTACTCGCACTTCATATAGCGAGAATACCTTGATGCTACCATAACAATACAGTCAAGAAGAGCTTTTCAATGTAAATCCAATAGATCTTTACAAGCTTATTGATTACGTTGTTATTGTACAGAGATATAATGACGGGAAAATGGCAGACCCACAAAAGAGCTGCATAGCATACCCCTTTCAACCCCTAGTTGCGATAGTTGTTTTCAAGGGATATTATGGTTTGATTTTGATACTAAGTATCATTAGTAAGACTGCTCGAAACTAAAGCCAGAGAACACAGAGCATATACAGAAGAAAACAAAAATGAAAGGACCTGGATCTTAGAAGTTAAAAGTACTAAAGAGTTTGATGTGTAACCAGCTGGACTAACCTAATAGTACAACAACAAAAAATGACTACAGCAGCATCTAGAAAAAGAGCAACAAAAGTAGTTCCAACCGCATCCAAAGCAACTTTAAAGGTGTTTGTAGTAACATCCAAGAAGCAGCAGCATAAGTGGCTTCAACTGCATCCAGAAACATTAGCAGAAAGTGGATCCAGTCACAACCCAAAATAGTAGCAAAAGACCTTTCACTGGCGAGTGGCGACCAAACCAATAAATAACATTCAATCGAAGTATCTTTTTTAGATTGACTTACCTTGTTGCAAGCTTGCTCTTTGATTATTCAAAAGTGAAACACTGAACCTTGTTCGTTGTAAATCTTCTCAGACATATTATAGGCATGAGATCATTGTAAGACTGTATATAAATTGTCATTACCCCGGTTCACCCTCCGTGAACCATCGTGACAACACCTATTCTCCACGACTAGGTAAGCCTAAAATGCGGAAGATAAATCAATTTGCGGAAGAAAATAATTTAAAATAGAAATAGAGTAATAAAACAGAGTTTAAAAGTGTCGCTCGGTATACACAATATTAACTCTCAAAAACTAATATATTTTCCCAAAACCTGAAAACCCATGAATCTCAAGCTACGAATATAAAAAAATGCTCTAACTCCGGAATGTCTACATCAACAGAAAAGATAGAAGGGCTATCACTACAAGATAGAATGGAAAGGGACTCCTCGGTCTGCGGACATGGCAGATATACCTCAAAGTCTCTGGAACAGTCGCCTAGCCTCAAGGGTGATAGGACTGAGTGGATGTACTTGGATCTGCACATGAAAAACATGGACAGAAAGGGCATGAGTACACCACATCGGTACTCAGTAAGTGCCAAGCCTAACCTCGATCGGATAGTGACGAGGAAGGTCAGGGACCTACTGAGATAAATAAAAATATAAAGTATGACAAGATAAGGTAAGCAGTACAGTTGAAAGCTAACAATAAGAATTTAATACAGGAATATAAGGAACTCAATAACTGAAATTGAGGCAAAAACAATCACAAAGATATACTATTCTTCACAAGGATAATAACTGAGGATCTCTCAGTATCCTGAGGATCTCTTAGTACCCTCACTATATGCCAGGGATCTCTTGGTATCCCGAGGATCTCTCGGTATCCTCAATATATGCTAGGGATCTCTTGGTATCCCGAGGATCTCTTGGTATCCTCAATATACGTTCTAGGGATCTCTCGGTATCCCGCACCTCAGCTCAAATCATAAATACGTGCAGGGGATCTCCCGGGATGTCGTCCCGTAGTCCCAAAGTAAAACACACAGCAACAACACAAGGAATACTCAATTAAGCTCAATTTTGTACCAAGTAAAACGGGTAATTCTAACCTAACATGCTTCACATAATGCAATTAAGGCAGTTTAGGCAAATAAGCAATTAAGTCAATTAAACATGCTTTTTCTAAGATAAAAACAGGCTTAAATTGCAAGTAGTATAAAACAGGAAAAAACAACACAATTATCAAATATACCAAATCCTAAGGGGAAGGTCCCCCACACAAGGTTAGACAAGCCACTTACCTCGAACCAGCTCAATTCAATCCGAAACCTTGCTCTTTGCCATTAGTACTTGACTCCAAATAGCCCAAATCTATTCAATTCAATTTCATAAAGTAAATAACACTTCAAGTAACAGATTCTACAAAGAAATTCTAAGCTAATATGCGAAATTAGGTAAAATGACCAAAACGCCCCTTTGGCCCCATCTCGGAATCAGGTAAAGTTTACATTTCCCGAATCTGCACACTCTCACGAGTTTAGTCATACCAAAAATACCAAAACCTCAAATGGTCCCTCAAATTATCACTCAAAGGTCTCTAATTAGTGTTGATACCCAATTTTTCCCTATGTATTTTTATATATAAAATACTTTCAAAATAGCATGTACATAAATTATAAGCATGCCCAAGAGTTTTGGTATTTTTTCCTAATTTTTAAGATTTTAAAATCAATTTATTGTCTATTTTTAGTAGTACAAAATCCAATAATTATTCCCAAGATTATAATCTTGGTAAATAAATTATTTTATTCTCATATTTACACCAAAATATAATTAAGGTGATTTTTGTATATTTTTTACAAATCTATTTGGTATTTTTAAGCAAAATTGCATGTAATTGCAATTATAGCCTATTTCACGATTAGTAGCATTTTATAATTATAACATTATTTCCAGTATTTTTAAATTAATATTTATATAGTATATTTTGGCTCAGTGTTTTTAATTTACTTTTAAAATTATTATTACTATTTTTATAAAATAAAAAGGGAAAATAGGCTATTTAACACGTAGCCCATTTGTATTTAAATTACAACCCTTTTACCTTTCAATTTTGGCCCTCAATTTGACCCAATTCCGCCCCCAAATTAAACCAACCCAATCCTTAAATTACCCGACCCCTCACCCGATTTAAAAACTCACCCGGCTCCCCTTTGATCCAGGCCGTTGATCATTTTGAGCAACGGCCATAAACTCCCCTTTCCTTTTTTTAATTCCCAAACCACCCTTAACCTAATTCATTTCACCTGAGATGCCGCCTTTGAACCCTCTTCGTCTCTCAAACTCTCTCGAACCTCTCTGAAATCCTAATCATTTCCCACCTTATCTCGCCATGATTCCACCGGAATCCATGGCGTCTCCGGCCATGGACGGTCTGTACTCATCCTTTCTCACCATAAGACCTAAGCTATTCAAGGTTTGAAGCCCGACTTCAGTGGCCTTCTTCAGATCTTTCTCAGATCTGTAGATCTATGGTTTCTCCGGCCATTATTCTGGCATGTTAAAGCAATATGAGTCTTTTCGACTTAGGATCTGACTTTCCTCAAGCCTTTCTCATTACTATGGTTTTCTCTGCATATCTAAGCCGTCTGAGGTTTTGTACCCACCTATTTTCGTAGATCTGTGATATGTCTGGGCTCTATTTGACATTTTAAAGGTTTTCCCCAAATTTCCTTTTTAAAATCATTCAATTTCGAATTTAGGGTTTCTGAAAAAGTTTCTTCAAATATCTTTCTGATTCTTTCCATTCTTTCTTTATGTGTGTTTATCTATGTTAGGCTCCTATGTTTTCTTTTCTCCTATGCATGAGTTTGCTCTCTTGTTTCTTTTATATTATGCGAGACTCTTCTATTTTTGCTGTCACTCTTATGCTCTCATGTTAATCTGTGTTGTTAATCCTTATTCTTTGTTATATGTGTTTATGGTAGAGTTCTTTGATTTTGTTCATTTTACTGAGTTCTGTTTGTGTTCCTGCTAAGCATATTTCATCTACTTTTGTTTAAAGCTCGTATCATCTCTTTCTTCTGAACTTGTTTAAACTCCAAGTTTTCTCGAGCATGTTCTCATGACTTTGAATCAGTGTTCTTTCTATCGTGTGTGTTTGTCTCTCATAAGTCTTTGGAAAAGACTTCTGAGCCCCTCATAAGTGGCCTGCCTTCTCATCTCCATTGTCTGACTCAATTTGAAACCCTAGGATTTGGGGGTTTCTTTGGCAAGTGGTATTAGGGTTCCACTTTGGGACCCTAGGCTTTCAGACTCACTATGAGTCTGTAACTGAACTCGAATCCCTTTTGCTTGTGGCTCTAAGACTTTCAATGTTAGACTCTTTTTCTAAGAAACCTGACGATTCCTTTTGCTTGATCTATGTGCTTTATATACAAGAAATTCCTCTTTCAAAAGTTTTCACCAATTAAGTGATTGATTCTGAAGTCCCTTTAATAAGGCTGATGAATTGTCACTGATTTTCTTCAAATTGAACTTGTAATTTTGGTTTCATAGCTGTTTGATTGATTCCTTTGCCATATTTGGCACAAACCGTATGTCGTTGATTGTTTTCCTTAAATAACTTCTATGTACTTACCCCTTTTTGTGATCTTTGAAAAAGTTTTAATTAAAACTTATTTTCTTAACTAAGTTTTACCTGTTGAAATCAGAATCCCTTAACCAAAGGGAGGTTGATTTCAATGATATTTCCTTGCCTTTTTTACTTGCTTTCTGCACTATAAAAAGGACTGCCCTTCTGCACTTTTAAGACACCTTACACCTTCAGCTCACATGACCTACACACTACCAGTCCTTAACTCCAATTGAATACTTGCACACTAGCAATATTGCTTTGAATTCAATACTCTTTCAACACTCTGCTTTTGCTTGAGATCTTTTGAAATTGCTTGGCCTGCAACTTGGCTTTTCCTAAGACTACTGTTTTTACTTGTTTTCCCCTGAAACTGGTATGTTCTGATTTAATGTTTTTGCCTCACCCCTATGTGCTTATTTATAGTTTTCTGCAATCCTGTTTACTTTACTGCTCATGTTTAGTGATTTATGCTAAGTATGTTCTTTCCCTGCACCTGTTTCTATTGTGAATCCCTACCCCCTATTCCCTTCTATGTGTTTGAGTTAAGACTCATGGCCTGACAGTATTCAAATTGCTGCTCAGGTCATAAC